CCGGTAAACTTAGCTATGTCTTCTATCCACTATCTGTATGATTTTTCAGGATAGCACCAGGTCGCAAGGCTTGCGTATCATTTGAATCTGAATTTTTGTTTTACCATCCTATAATAGGTACTATTCAAATGATACTATTTGGTACTATAAAACAAAATCCTATTTATAGTACCATCCTAGAAACTAAAAATAGGTGTGGACAATTCACCATTTCTAGATCTTCCTGTTTTTTTTCCCCATGAGTTTTCCGACATCTCTTTGTCCGTTTACCCCAGGGCCAAATACATGGTAAGTCGGAGAAAATCCTGCTGAGCACGGCGCCGCTCTAGACCTAGCACTGGAAAACCCCATTTAAACACCTTCATTTTGGGGGGGGATTTCCCAGTGGAGCCTAGCCAAAATGATGAAAATCATAGGTAAGATTAATGGGAAATTGCTGAACGAAATCGAGATTTACATGGGCAAATCAAAAAATAGGACTTCCAAGGATTTCCCAGCCAATGATGGAGGGTTTTTATGCCAGGCTATGCCTATGTGGACTACGAAGATGAAGGCACTGCGACCTTGTTGGCGGACGCCAAGTGCGATCTGAAGAAGGACCCCTTCCGAGGCCTGGGCCGATTGTGAACACCCCCAATTCAAATGATGTGGAGGAAGTATGAGGAAATGGATTATATACGTATATAATTGTGTATATAAATATATACATACATAGTTAATAGAGTTATATATATATGTATATATGCATAACATATTACAAAGCTTAGATCATGTTTTTAAGATCTATGGGGGGGTAACTTATATAACCTCTTCAGGATATCATCCCCCAAAGGGATTTAGCCCGTTTATTTCAAATCGTTAGTTTACAGTATGTTCCATATTAATCATCATTGTTACTATTATCACTATCATGATTACTACTGTTGTTAGATACAAATCTTTTAAATAGTGATAATGATGATAGTGACAATAGTAATCACTGTTAATGATTGTTACTGATTATTGTTGTATGTTAATAATGATTACTACTGTTGTTATTGATGGCTGTTAATCACTGTGACGCCCCGATGGCTTGCCTCCCAGGTACCGTGCGGGTACTGAAGGAGGTGACGACGATGAGTCTTCCCCTGGCGAAGCCGCGGGGCAGTGAGGGCGCTCGGTTCCAGGAGGTCCAAGGTGGGACATGAGCTGGTCATAGTGGGGATTTCATGGGGATTTCATGGGGACAACCATGAAACATGGGTTGTTTTTATGGGATTTTAAGCAAGTCCTGGTGATTCAAGCCCATGTTTGATGGTTAGATAATATTTTTTAAAATATAATTTAATAGATATTGATATCATGGGTCTTGAGCAATGGAATAGACCCATGTTGGTGGATGATTTTTGTTCGTCATGGCCGAAGTTTGGGCCAGGGGTTGAAGCATCAAACTATGGGCATCAATAAGTGGATATATAATTGTATATTTAAGTGGATATGATATAAGTGATACATGATGGTTGATTAGCTAATTTGTTCGGACTTATGCTTGATAATAGGAAAAACGGAAACCGTTTTCAACCAACAAATATTTTTGTCATGGCTCAATTGCCAACAGTTATCCGGGTCAAACGAGTGACTGGGTAGCTACTAAGTACGTTTGTTGATGTTTAATTAGCGTTCATAATCTTTGAACAATCAATGGGCATCATATATTTACATATATATATATCTCTTATATTAGCCAGCTTCTGGCAATGACATGGTATAGAAAAAGTAAAGCGGTGGAGCTAGAACAACCTGCAACCAATAATTTGGGCAATGCAACATTCTACAATTCATGATTTCGGAGATAGAGGGAGAGCTATGCAAATGCTGGGAGCAAGCAGAAACCGGAGAACCTTTGCAAGATGCAACAATGTCATGATTTCTGAAAGTGGCAATTTTGGTTTCCATGTGCAACGCTTGTATTCCTGCAATGTTCTTCCATCCATTTCAGCGCTCCCATTTCAGTGACTGCCTGCGCTCATTGTTCGATTTTGATTGCCAGACGAACCACAAGGATCCACAAGGATCCACAAGGACGAATGTCAATCCCAGGCTGGTAAAGTCAGTTTATTGATTGGTTGCCCCCAAATAGTGATACATTGCTGTTGAAATTAGTATCCCGCCCCATTCGTAAACTGGAGGTTCATGAATCCGGAAGCCGGCCAATCCCAGGTTTAACAGTCACTGAGTGATTGTGCTCATTGCCAGGGTTGCTTAGGGCACTGCGATCCAAGTTCAGAAAAAACACTTTTTCATTCAAGAAGAAGCTTCAAAATCCAAGCTTCGCTTGAATTACCATCAACTTCCATAAACTGAAAACTGAAAAGGGTTCGGTTTCTATGACAAAAATTGGGGTGCAGTCGGGGCGAAGAGCAGCTCACCCCGAGGGGCATGTCCATCTGAGTTTTGTTTCAGCACACAGTGAAGCAAATTACCTGCTGGAAAACTTATTTGGGGATCTAGTATGCAGTGTATACCCATGATTGTTGCTTGTACCTAGAATCCTAGAATGCATTGTGCCGGTCTAGTTCCAGTTTTTGGCTACATCTTCATTTTCGTTGATGCCGTTGCAACCCCGGTGAATTCGTCGTTCCGTGCGGTGCAGCTGTGGCGTTTTCATTGCCCCAGCACCGGTATTTCGTCAAAGGAGCGCAGGAGCTAATGGGTTGACAATGCGATGATGTGGAAGATTGCTAAGATAATTGAGCCCAACGCGGAGAAATGCTTGGAAGTGATGAATCAATGACACATGTTTATAGTAGCCCGGTAAAGGATAGACAAGGTTAAATGTACCACTAGGATTTTAATGCGAAGCATCTTGGAGGTTAGCACAATTGACTTTAAATTTGAGGTAGAAGGCCGAAATTTGTTGGCGAACTGAGTTAGTTCACCCCATTTCTTACTGCACATTGCCCCTACCTACCCTATTTTTAACTGGAGTTATAAGCCACTTAGCAAACATTCATCACCATATCCTATTTTTTGTCGAATTTTGGTTGGTTAAATCTTCATTTTTGCTGGTTATGATCCCATCTAGCTATATGAGTTGAGTAAAACATGACAACACACTCTGCGGAAGTGAAGCTTGTCTGGAGATCATCACCCCCAGAGATCACATGTCGCTTCTGGGGTTTATACAACCAAGGTACTAAGGATGCCAATTTTTTTCCCCCAATTGACTATCTCATATACATTCATATACTGAAAAAAGGGGGGGTTGCAGGTTCAACACTTTTCCGTTGCGGGTTTCCCATTTTTCCTTTGAATCCCTGGTCTCCTTGACCTGTACTCGCCGGAACTTTCTGCCAAAAGGCACAAGCTTCTGCGACCGCAAAAGGGGCAGCGTTGAAACGGGTCGTGAAACGCGTGGTGTGGGAGTCCATGATCATATCATATCACATTTTGGGGGGATGGGATCAATGATTTGTAGCCTTTTCCACTTCAAAAAAAGCCGTGTCTTTCACTTGGATGGGTTGAACCCCGATGTTCGGACGTTAAGTGCGGCTCTTGACAGCCAGCTGGAACAGCCAGCTTCCTGTGCCAGACTTAGATGATCCAAGCTGGACCCATGCTACCATGGTTTTTTAAAACAGCATTATAGCACCCCTGCCAAAAAAAGATGCGGAACAATTATTTGCCACTATTGCAGGATTGGATTTCATTTTCTTGCATCTCTTTGGGGGGTTGCTATGCAGCTATACGTATGTATATATATATATATTATATATTCCCTATTTTGTAGAGGTCACGTAAGGTAAAACCGCCCTAGAGTTTTGTGCGAACGTTAGCACCAATGGTCCTGAAGAAGAAAAAGAAGGCGCCAAAAAGTCGGCCGGCGAAGAATCTTTTGGTTGTCCACATCTCCCGCGCGGTTCTTCCGAGTTTTTTTTGAAGTGAATCTCAATGTGTCTGAAAATGGGGCACATAATTATATGATTATTATATATATATACACACATACACACACATATACTGTATATATATAATTACACGATATATATATATAAAAATGAATACAAAATACCCAAGTAATGGCCATTTCAACCATGGAAACATGGTTTGATCATCCATTGGAACTGGGGTTTTTCACTTCCCTCAGAAGTTCCCGTTCTTTTCACCGGATCTCTGGTAATGACTAATATAGCTATAGAAAATCATCGTTTTTAATAGGTAAACCATCTGTTTCTATGGGCCATCTATACGATAGCTTTTTGTATGTTTACCAGAGGGTAAGCCCATTCTATTTGGCTGAACATCTGTTTTTTTTTAAATATGGGCCAATGATAGTGTACATTTTGATTCCCCGTTATTTGTGTAAACAAATGGGGATAGCCATGAAGTCCTACAAAATCTACCATCGAGGAAGCATTGCAGCTGAACATGTTACTGTAGATCCCCCATGGAAATGGGTGCAATATCTGTAAAAAAAAATGAATCCCGTTCAGGATGGTGGAATGCACATACTCCAAGAATAATCCCATGTAGCACACTAAGGCACACTATGATCATTCCGGTGTACTGGATGTTCGCGATTGAACAATGGCCAGTTTGTAGATACCCTCCGGTGTTAGCCGGTGTTGCTTGTGCTTGATTTTTTTGGCCGGAAAATCCATATCATTTCCAGATGATTTCCCCATGTAAATCTGTAAATGTGCATTTCGTTCCTCCATTTCCCATGGATTTACCAGGCCAAGGTAGAAGAGCCAGGCCAGGACACCTTCGGGAAATTGCTTGGGAAATCATGGGACATCCCTGGTTTTTCCTCACCAGGGCCGCTGGAGAATAAAAACTGGGCCAAGTAAAAACATGTAAAAACCAACAAAAAGGTGTGGTTATAAACCAACATAAACCATTTTTTTTCAGTTGCAGTCCGTTTAAAAAAACAAAATGCTAGAAAAAAAACATGATCAAATGACTTCGGAGGTCATCGGATAGCACCAGGTCCGTTGAGTCAACTTGAGTCCACTGTCGGCATGTTGGGGCGCCCTGAGGAGCAGAAGCAACGGAAGCAGTTGCAAGGAAACCTGAGGCAAGACTCCTAGCAACTTCAAAGTATGGCTCGCGCATGGTAGTCATATATATATATTATACTATATTATATATTATTATAAATATATATACATATATACATGAATATGAAAACGCATTTTGAGGCCGGCTTGGGCATGTATATGAAATCTACTTCGCATAGAGTTAGGGTCAGCACTTTCCAGAGACAAGGCTGCTGCTGGAAAAACTAAGAAGCGAAAAGCAGGACAAATACCTTGCCAGCGGGCCAACATTCGTTGGGTGGTTCCTTGAGTATCTTTGAAGCAGCTGTTTGATGCTCTAGGTAAGTTGTTTGGACCTATTGCAGTGGGCTTGCTGTGCTGGTACTGTAGATGAAATTGACCAACTGACTAAGACCTGTTTACAAGGAGCAGAAGCAACGGAAGCAAGCGCAAGTAAGCCTGAAGCAAGATTCCCAGCACCTGCTTGAGTTTATGGCATGGTAGCTTGCAATTTCACAGTCCTCGTGGTCATTTATATGAAACGTTGTGAAATCTACTTTGCATAGAGTTAGGGTCAGCACTTTCCAGAGACAAGGCTGCTGCTGGAAAAGCTAAGAAGCGAAAAGCAGGACAAATACCTTGCCAGCGGGCCAACATTCGTTGGGTGGTTCCTTGAGTATCTTTGAAGCAGCTGTTTGATGCTCTAGGTAAGTTGTTTGGACCTATTGCAGTGGGCTTGCTGTGCTGGTACTGTAGATGAAATTGACCAACTGACTAAGACCTGTTTACAAGGAGCAGAAGCAACGGAAGCAAGCGCAAGTAAGCCTGAAGCAAGATTCCCAGCACCTGCTTGAGTTTATGGCATGGTAGCTTGCAATTTCACAGTCCTCGTGGTCATTTATATGAAACGTTGTGAAATCTACTTCGCATAGAGTTAGGGTCAGCACTTTCCAGAGACAAGGCTGCTGCTGGTAAAGCTAAGAAGCGAAAAGCAGGACAAATACCTTGCCAGTGGGCCAACATTCGTTGGGTGGTTCCTTGAGTATCTTTGAAGCAGCTGTTTGATGCTCTAGGTAAGTTGTTTGGACCAATTGCAGTGGGCTTGCTGTGCTGGTACTGTAGATGAAATTGACCAACTGACTAAGACCTGTTTACAAGGAGCAGAAGCAACGGAAGCAAGCGCAAGTAAGCCTGAAGCAAGATTCCCAGCACCTGCTTGAGTTTATGGCATGGTAGCTTGCAATTTCACAGTCCTCGTGGTCATTTATATGAAACGTTGTGAAATCTACTTTGCATAGAGTTAGGGTCAGCACTTTCCAGAGACAAGGCTGCTGCTGGAAAAGCTAAGAAGCGAAAAGCAGGACAAATACCTTGCCAGCGGGCCAACATTCGTTGGGTGGTTCCTTGAGTATCTTTGAAGCAGCTGTTTGATGCTCTAGGTAAGTTGTTTGGACCTATTGCAGTGGGCTTGCTGTGCTGGTACTGTAGATGAAATTGACCACCTGACTAAGACCTGTTTACAAGGAGCAGAAGCAACGGAAGCAAGCGCAAGTAAGCCTGAAGCAAGATTCCCAGCACCTGCTTGAGTTTATGGCATGGTAGCTTGCAATTTCACAGTCCTCGTGGTCATTTATATGAAACGTTGTGAAATCTACTTCGCATAGAGTTAGTGTCAGCACTTTCCAGAGACAAGGCTGCTGCTGGAAAAGCTAAGAAGCGAAAAGCAGGACAAATACCTTGCCAGCGGGCCAACATTCGTTGGGTGGTTCCTTGAGTATCTTTGAAGCGGCTGTTTGATATTGCAGATATGTTGTTTGGATAGGAGTTGGCACTTCTTTGGCATTTGCGGTGATGTTCTTCTAGATGTGTAGACAAAACTTTGAACACTTTCCTGCAAGGAGCAGAAGCGACTGAAGCAACTGCAAGTAAGCCTGAAGCAGGACTACATGCTACGTCCCTCCAGTTACTGTAGTCACTCGTTGGTACACGCAGCGTGTCTCATCTTGATGTCCCCACTTCTGAGATTCTGGTAAGTGGCGACAAGAAAGTTCTCCAAATTCTGCCATGTTCATCCATGTTCATCCATTTTAGTAACTATTGTATATATCATACATCTTCAAGATGAAGAAACCACAACTTGATTTCATGTTCAGGATTCATTGCAATTTTCAAGATTTTTCGATGCCATTCACAAAAACCAACAGCCAGAAACGTGGCACGGAACTTCGGGGAGCAAGAAATCCAAGGCGCAGGCTCAGAGAGATATTTTTATGGAATGCCTAAGCAGATCTAAGCAGGTATGTTTCAAAAAGGATGCATCCACATCAGGAGAACCATGGAGAACCTTAAAATGACTTGGAAAGTCAATGCTTAATTGTAGATTTTCTTTCCGAGCTCCGGGGTTTTGTTGCTTCCCACACTCTGATCATCTGATCCTGCAGGTCGACTCAGCCAAAGATGCAGCAACAGGTGCAGCGAATTGGAATATGTTGGCGCTCATAGGTTGAGGAATTTTTCCATCCCCAAACAGATGGTTGCTGCGTGTCAGGTGGTGGATGGCAATTGCCAAAGCCAAGTTTGTTCTTGAAGCGGCGAAACAATTGCCAGACAGTTTGAACGCTCGAATGTTCGCCTTCTGGCAAAGGTTGGTTCCCAAATTTCGGCATGTTTTTCCGAAAAAATCGAAGATTTCACCTATCCGACCTATCCCCAGCCCATTTTTTAGCCCCGAAATCTAGGAGTTAACCCAGAAATCTCACCAGAATTCATCAAGATCTCCCCCCAAACTCCAGCAGTTTCTCTGGTTAAATCTCACCCAGGAGCCGACCGAACCGTCTTTGTGGATGGTGTTCCATATGTCGGCGCCTTGATGCCTCAATCTGCACCTTTTTAGCGGTCAAATCAAGATTGATGTTCAATAAATCACTAGTTTTAATGGGTAGATCACCATTGCAGCAATTTTACAATAAATGGCAACTTTTTCATAGGTAAATCACCATTTTGGATAGATAATCACCATTTTGGATAGGTAAATCACCATGAACTATACCAAATGGACCACGGCTTCCAGTTCACAACCTGTAACAGTCACTACCGGAGGGTAAATCTGTGGCCGCTTTGAGGACTGGACCCTTGAGCGCATCAAAGAGTTTTTTGCGACCAAGTGTGGTTGCTGGGCGAGTGAAAACGCACCGGATGCACCGGGGGAAAGCCCAACATTGGATATGTGGGAAACCCAATGCCATAAACCTACCATGACTGGGGATAGTTTATACAGTATTATGTATTATACATGTTTATACCATAAAAATTGTGATTTGGGGGATGGTCAAGAGTCATCAGAACATGATAATGCACGACAAGCATCATCAGTACTGTTGCTTCTGAACTCTTGAACAAGGGTTTGTTTGAATTTTGCGTACCTCGTATTTTCCTTAATAAAATTGCCACTTTCGGGTTTCTATCCCATTTTCAGACACATCACACATTAATCACTCCTCTCAATTGATGGAACACCCCTATCCCTGCCCATCATGGTCTCAAAATGGCGGCTAGGCATTGGAATGACCATCCCGGTTTTTTTCGTTGCGACTGGCTAGCAATGATGGTTGATGTCGGGTGATTTACGAAGCACTTTGATGCAGCATCTATGTTCCCTCGGATGTCCATCCTTTCCATCCTTTCTTCAGTTAGATCTTGTTGGTCATACCCTCTGGTAAACTAACATAGCTATGGCAAATCACCATCTTTTTTATAGGTAACTCAACGAACTAAATCTGCAATTTTCAATAGCTATGTTAGTCATAACCAGAGGGTAATGCCTACATTTTCTTAGCAAATGGTTAGTTTCTGGTGATTTATGGTAAACTAACCATTTTCAGAACATAATAGCTAATAGATGCTAATAGTAATCTCACTAGCTATAGTTTATGCCAGTTTCCACCGAAAAAATGGTGGGTTTTTTCGTGCCTTTTTTTGGTGAGGTGGAATTGTGGAGGTGAGAGCACCGACCTGGCAAGACTCCGGGCGTTTGCGTGGCTGGCCGGCTGGTGATTTTACGCATGATGGCCATAGGATGTAAGTGGCGGGTGCCCTAGCAAAAACAGAAACAAAAAAAGCTATGGGGATACAAGTGGAATAAGATGGAATTAAGTAGATATAAGTGGATATAACTGATAAATGATGCTTGATTGATGATTAGTTCGGGTGTTATACTACCCATTTTTGATTGGGGGATAACATCATGATCCCTTGTGGGAATCATTTTCATGACGGAGGATAAATTGAACACTGCGAAAAAAAAGTTTAAAATACCGTGCTCAAAACCAACAGACAAAAATGGAATTTTCATATGTTGTATATGATTCAATCCAAAATACTTCTGTTGAATGATTTAGTCAAAATGGAGATGTCCACATATTTTTGCCACGAACATGTCCTTGGATTTTACCTACATCTTTGTGGATGTTTCTGGGATTTGGGGCTGTCACCAACCTCTGATCTGACACATTCTGAAACCATTCATTCCGAAGGATAATTTGTGGTTTGTCATGGTTTGTCTCAAGGCATGCTGGGCCCCCATTGAATACTGTGCGCCCAATCTTGAGCCATAGAAGTAGATGGACGTGTTGCCGGTGTTGATCCCCAAGGTGGTTATGCACATGTTGCCTTCAGTGATGCGGAGAGCATGAAGAAGGCCCTGCACTTGAACGGTACCAAGGTTGGCAAGAAGGCCTGGGCCCCTGGGCTGTACTGGATTTTTTCGTGAGTGGATTGTCATCCAACCGGAGTTAGGACGACCTCCATCATGAGCGGTGCATGAAATTGACACTTCCGACTGAAGATTGGCCAAATCCTATGGAAGACAGGGGCATTTCCACCTTTATGCCATGATATGCCATGGTTTCCTGTATCTTTCCTGATAGATTCAATGTTGAAACCAGACATGCTGACACAAATTTCCGATGTCCTTCATCTGCTGGACGCCGTTGTGCAGGGACGGTACCTGAAGATCGATCCTGCCAAAAAGCCAGAAGGACAGGGAGGAGGAAAGAGTGTGACGAAAGAGGAGATCGAGGGAAAGAGTTGTTGCCTGAGATGGGTGCAATGGCAAATGGTGTGGCGGGCTGTGGCAGATTTTGGTTGTAAGATGTTGTAAGACTTTTCAAGACTTCAAGGTCCTCTGGTTTTTTCATGGAAGAAACACTCTGGTAAACAGCCACATAACTATGGAAAATCACCATTTTTTATAGGTAAATCATCTATTTCAATGGGCCGAATGGGCCATGTTCCAGTTCGCTATGTTAGTCATAACCAGGCCGGGTACCTCTTTCCCAGCCTCGACCAAGGGAGACTCTTTGTGAAGAATCTCCCCTACGACGCCTCGGAGGATGACATTGCGAAGCTCTTTGCCAAGTGTGGCAAGGTAGCCATGGACCCATGGTGCGTTTCGGCGGCGCGCTGCAATACCTCTAACTCTAGGGGGGGGGGTTAATTGTGGGGAGTGTACTTAAAAGATCTTAAAAGTATGTTGCTTGAGAACTGATTTACCAACGTTGTGAAGAATGTTGAACCTCCTTTCCATTCAGTTCTTCTCAGTGAGATGGGCAGTGGTTGCTGGCAAGTGGTTCTGATGTGAGGGTGACATCTTGATGGACCCTTGGGGGTTTCCACATGGATAACATCGGTGGTTAGACCGCTCAGTTTCTGTAACAGTGTAGTGTTCACCCTTCTGTTTGGGGGTTCTCCATGTTTTGGAGAGGTCCGAAGTCTGTTTGATGGCCGTCAGATTTCGTCCGCATTCGGATGATAAGGCAGCATTGGTCGCCAGCCTCTAGCTCCACCCTGGAAAATACTTCATGAAGAAACAACCAAAATGATCCAAAATGATTCATTCAATCATTTCAATCCATGTTTCCAATGTCGTTGGGCAAAAAAAAAAGCAGGGTGGTTTTTAGGCAAATGATTGCCCATGGTTTTCATATGTTTTCCATTTTCATTCATAATTTAATATAGTTTTTCTATACCCTCTGGTAAACTAACATAACTATGGAAAATCACCATTTTTCATGGGAAAACCCACTATAAATTGCCATTTTCAATAGCTATTTTGACATAACCAGAGGGTAATTTATGTATTTTTATCGTGAACTGCAGATTCCCCTGGTTGCCGTGCTTGTTTCGCTTCCCAAAGCTTCGGAACGACACAGCCTAACTTTCACCAGGTCCAAAATAAAGCCATAAATTAGCCGATGAATCCATTAATATCATTACTCAGCCTGATGATTCATAAAGTAACTGTCACCACTTTTTGATGAACTCCTCATTTTAATGTGCCATATTTCGAAATAGTTTTTTTTTTTAAATACCCAGCTAGAAAATGGTGGATCTTTCCATAGAAATTATATATTGATTTACCAGAGGGTAAACCATCATATATCCCATTAAATCACCATTGAATCCCATTAAATCACCATTGAATCCCCATTGAATCACCAGAGGGTAAAACAGGAAGAGTTTCCCGCCTTGCCTGTTGGGGCGCCGAGGGTAAAACCGGCCATCAGGTGGTGGAGATTCGAATCCCCCATGCGTCAGGCCGAAGCAAGGCACAAAGGGACCAGGGGGTGTTTTTTCTGACGGTCTGAGCCACCAGGACGTCAGAAACCTATGAAAATCTAGGGAATCTCTAGATTTTGAATATGTTTTGAAGATGTTTTTTCACCATTCGGAATTTGGGAATTTGGGATTTTTTGGGAATTTTGGGCATTTTTGACCAGTTGATTGGAGGCACTCAGTCAATCCAAATAATGTACACAGATGTATACTGTATACAGTACAACATTATACTGGTATTATTGGATTTGACTGACCAAATTATTGAATTATTATACAATTATACTGTATATCAAATCCAAATACTGACTCAGCTGGATTTGACTAAATCTCTGAAAGAAAAGCGTCAGGAAATTCAGCTGAATGTTGTTGGATGTTGTTGGGTTTACCGCATTTTCAGTGTTTTTCACACAGGGCGGTGGAAGCAACAAGAGAAGTTGACCAACAACCATGGCGATTCTATGTTTGCAAGAGGCAGACATGAGAATAGAGCTATGAAAAAAATGTGATTTCAACCAATCAACGCATTTGAGTGCTGGCAGTGGTGCTTCAGGCAGATTGTCCATGTTTTCATCCCAGGCTTAGGGGATGATCATGGATGATCGATCCGATTCTTTGATTTGGGGGATGGGTTAAACTACCAGGCAGTAGCAACAGATGTGGGTGTCCATTGAAATGTAGCCTCTGGAGAATAACACCTAACACATATAAATATATAGCTATAAAGAAAAAATCCTATTTAGAGATGATTTACATATATGAAGATCATAAACTAAGTCTTTTTCCATTCGCTACGGTGAAATGACCTGAATTCTGCTGGGGCAATTCATCGGATGACTTCGGTGTTGGAGACCGGAGAATCATCATCCGGGTCCGTCAGGGCTTCGCCTATGTGGAGTTTGCCAAAGCTCAGGCGCCTTCGGAGCCACGAAGTTTGCCGTGGGGATTGGGTTCCACCATAAAGGGGGTAAATCGCTAAAGGCTGGTGGTTTTTGAAACAACTTTCATTGGTTGCTAAAGGCCCCCTTAGCCTCTGGTCCTCTTGTAATTGAACTATGTAAATTCACCATAAAGGGGGTAAATCATCGAGCTAAATGGGGCCATGGCTTCACTATCAAATTACCACAGGATAAGCAGCCTTTTTTCGCAGCCGCAAAAGACATAAAGAAAACACATCATGACACATCCATCTAAAGTGGTAAGAACTCTATATTTGGTTGGTTTGGAACATGGCTGGATTATTTTCCATTTCATATATGGGATGTCATCCTTCCCATTGACGAACTCCATCATTTTTCAAGATGGGCACATTGCACCACCAACCAGATATAGTGGATTTTCCCATTTAAAAAGGTGATTTTCTATAGTTTTTTGTATGTTTACCAGAGGGTAATAACTCTATATAGTTCTCATATGGGTGGACCTCACTGAACCTTTTCCCGTTTTCTGATTTTCACATCCCCCCCTGGACGGAACTGGGACTCGCTAAAGCGACAGGGACTGAAAGCAGCGATGGACTTGGAGCCGGTTCCATCGTAACCCGGACGGGGAACATGGGCACAGTCTGGGCAAAGCGCAGGGGCCCTGGGCTATTGAAAATGACCATTTCTAGTGGATTTTCCCATTGAAAATGGTGGATCTTTCCATAGCTATGTTAAATTACCAGAGGGTAGAACTCATGTTTTTTTTCCACCCTGTTAAGCTTTTAAGTTTTGCGGAGTTTTGTGATCATGTAATAAATTTGTTTGTTGAAAACATTAGATGTATAAACCATTATAAAATATTATAAACCCAAATCAGATTCATATAATTGTATCCTTTGGCCATGTAACAGATGTAACACATGTATGTAACACAGCTATGGATAATCACAACTTTTAATAGGTAAATCATGTAAATCATCGTAAATCATCGAACTAAATGGGCCATGACTTCCAGTTCGTAAACTATTAGTCATAACCAGAGGATAAATCCCAAAAAAATCCCCATTCTCGCCGGGTTGTACCCCCATGAAATCCATGAAAAATCCCATGAAACCCTACTATAGATCACATTAAATCCCATTCATCCCCATGATATAAACCTATAAACCCCATTAAAATCCCATTAAACTCCATTAGATCCATTATATAAATCTCATTAACATCCCCTGATTTTTGGGAGACACTCAGGGAGCCACTTGCCAACAAGACTTGCCCTTTACACGGTGTCTTCATTGCCGTAGCTGGAACATTCCCGAACTCCATAGATGGTTGGGACAATCATCGAATCGATATAAATCTGGGTAAGTTATAACGACCTCACTACGACCGAACCCTGGAACCATGGTTAGATTGTGGGGAATTATCCCAAAATTACCTTCTTTCAGGTGAAATAAATGGAGGGATTTTCCAGCAAACCATGTTTGATTACCATTGAACAGCACCTTGAAATTACTTTAAATGGAGCTTTACTTCGCTGGACGTTTTCATCGCTACATGGTGGATTTTCAATTGCCACATTTGATTACCTGAGGGTACGATTTTTGAAAATGGCACTTGTCCATTGGATTATAAGAGGGGTATCCATCCATGCTTTGTCATCTGACCCTAAAATCATTTTAGGCTCTATGCAGTTTACTGGTGGCATCTCGATCCATCCTATGTTTTATCCTCATGTTCCCTATTCTTTTTTTGGATTCAGACGGCTAGAGAGTTGCTACAATCCCCCATTTTGACCCATACCCAGTCTTCTCCGCCTCGTAATCAAATACCACATCAGGGACCTTGAAAATGAACGGATCCAAGAATGCATTGTGGCCGCTGGGGGCATAGCACATTTCCACCCGCAGACGAAGACGAATTCCTTTAGATTTTAGAGGACCATATGAGGACCATTCCACCCGAAGACGCGAAGACCCCATCCCTCCCCAAAAACACGCAGTTTCATCCCCTACATCCACCATGGTTTCTTGGGGGGGTGTCAAAAATGAATAATTAGGTAAAAAGGGATCACTCTAAACAATTGGATGAATATATTTGTATTATTGATGATATAGATATACACTCTATTATATGATCGTCCAATACATAATTGGTGAAACTATCATTCTATTGTATTATGCCATGTTGTTTCATCAATTTCATCCAATATGATTTCAACATGATCCCATGAATGTGGGGCACCCCCAGGTTGCAGGGACGAAAGCTTCACTTGGACGCAGATTCAGGAACTGGGTCGCAGCCTCAAAGATGGGACAAAATCCACGCAATTGGATTTTGAGGGTAAAAACTAAAAACCATAGTTAAAAGCACAGAGAGAGAGAGAGAGAGATACATATATGTCATGATGGTAAAAAATAGAACCCTAAAATTTACAGGAAAACCTCATATTGAAACATTGGATTGGTTTAAGGGACATTTTTACAGGAAAGCATCATCAATTTGATGGTAAAAACATGTAAGCACACCCCATGGTTTCCGGTGAAGATTTCGCTGAATCACCAATCCAATGATGAAAGCAAACTGCTGTGGCTGATGTTTGGGAAGGGGTTGATGGTGAAAGAAACATTTTTTTTTTGTCGTCCACTCATGGCTTGCCATCACCCGACCATTTTCCAATGATTAAATCATCATTTTTGGCTGGCGAAATCCAAATTCAACTCGCAATTTTGGCTGGTGAAATCTCCATTTTTCAGGAATGTTTGATGGTTAAATCATGGTTAAATCGAATGTTTTCACAATTTTTTGGGGTGGTGAAATGCCAAATCTTCCTTAGCAAAACCCACATCGTGGGGATCTCTCCCTCCCCCGAGGCCCAAAGCTGGTTTTCATCACCGTCCTGACGTCTGCCGATCAGTGATTCATTGGATGGCGAAAAATGGTGACCCCCAAAGTTTAGATGCAGAAAAGGTTAAAAACTATGTTAAAATGTTAAACCTATCGCGATTTGTGACTCGGATCTTACTTTTCGACATCCTTTCTTGTGGTGGTTTCTATGGGGAAAAAGGTGCAGTAAAAACCTGTCGTTTGATGGGAAAAACCATGGTTTCCTGTAGATTTTTTCTCACTGGACGATCCCAATGACGATGAGGATTTTACACAAACTGTCATTTTGAAACCAACCAATGTAGGATACGAATCAGGCGAAATGGGATGTAAATAGTGCCCATTTTACAAATGTGAAAATACTCTGGATGTTCCCACAAATTGGGAGATGAATCAAGTCCAAGGAAGTAAACGAGCAAGAAATGCCGCACATTGACACAGTAAGCATTTCGTCCATTTTGATACATTGGTAATTAATCAAGAAACATGGAGATACGGTATGGGTCAAGAATGATTGGCACCTATTTTGGGATAGTTCGACTTATTTATATGCATACACCCATATAATCCCACATATATATATATATGCACACATATATGGAATATATAATTAGATACTGGAAATGACCAGCTTTTTGTGGGCCCATTTGCTGGCCTTTTGGCCACATGTTTCTGGAAAGAGTCCCAGACTCCAGCCTTTCTGCAGGCGTTTCAGTCCAAGTTTGTGGCAAAAGCCAAGCAGCCCAAGGCGCGAAAAATGGCGAAATGGTGGGTCTTCATACCACGGCTGTAGCGGCTGCCCGTCGCTGCTTGACCCGTCAAACATCTCCGCCAGGGCAAAGGAAAAGGAAGGTGCGGCATCTCGATGGTTCTGAACGTTCGGGTGGTTCCGCATTTTCAGACTCTGGGACGTTGAAAATCCGGTTCTTTTTTCCCCGCCATTTCGGATTTCGTTTCCGTTTCTTCAATCTTTTGTTTGGGCGGATCCGGGGGGTCCAGGATGGTTCTAGAAACACCAAGTTGAACTTGTCCGTACGACCAAATGAATATTTCCAGTTTGAACTTGGACACTGCAGCGCATTCCCACATTTTATTGGTTGATCAACCCTGGGGGGACCAATCTCCAGGTGCTTGGTTGAAGTTCCAAAATGTGAACAAAGCCACGTGTTCCCAAACTTTCCCAAACATATTTGAAATATTTGAACCATATTTTGATAACATCTATTCCCAATATTTGAATCCCAATTTGTCTTGGTAATGTCACCATCAAACAGTCCTGTCTGGTGAACTACCAGTTTTCTTAGCCAGGCCTTCGCTGTTTTGACCGCGGATGGCAAAATGGCGGCGCAGCTGGCTGGCAAGAACTTGAGGTTCCAAAATCTTCAAGAAACTTTCGGGGTTTTCCATTCCACCCGGGGTGATCTTCAACCCACCCTTACCATCCCTTACCCTGTATACACCATACTCAACCCGTACTAACCCTTACCTGACTTGTACCTATACCCGCTGTATTTTTCACGGCATGGGGAATTCTGCAGCTTTTGGTTCTCAATTCGTCGCGATCATTTGAGAAGACCATCACAAAATTTTCACCCTCATTGTTGTTGGCATTATCCGCAATGTTGATGGTGAACGTTAATGTAGCCATGTTCTGATGAGCATATCTTGCTTGAACAGCATCTTTAATTGCATAGTCTAAGTCTAGGCATGGCATTGTCCAAAAAGAGGGTGCCCCATAATCACATAAAATCCCGTCGGTTTATCATCATTTTCGCAGTCAAATAGCTGGCCCCCAGTTGTACCCCATTTCTGGTCAAATCATGTCAAACTCACATGAGGGTTGGGGGGATTTTCATGGTGGGCTCATGTTGTCATGTCCAGCAAGACTCTTTGGCTTCAGCTCGGGACAAAATAACAACCGTCCCCGAGAAAAATTACACAGGGAGATACTCGCAGTGGGCCACCACGCTTCAAAACAGGGGGACACCTTTTCTTCATGGCAGAGTTACAAGTCCATCCGCCACATGAATATCTCATAGATATGCCATATCTCATAGAGCTCAAGTCGAGGCCCCGGCCCCAAAATGACATTTTTGCCGGCCTGTTGGGGTACGGATAGTACGGATGTGGAAAAAACATGTAAAAACCGATGGAACTTGGGCCATGCCGAAGAAACAAAAACCGCAACGACTTCAACAGATCTCCACTGCTGTTGGAATTCGACCATTTTTTCAGAGAAATGCATGCGTAGTCCAACATGGATGGCTCCTGTCCACTACTCAGCGCAGAACTTCCCAAGTGGCGTTTTTTCGGGGTCATTTCATGATATTTCATGTAGACAGAAGGGATGGATTGCATGAATATTTGAAGTAGCAGCAGATACACAATGTGGAAACCCAACGATCAACGATCTTAGTTTTGCTAGAAAGAAATGGATAGAATTGGATAGACATAAATTTAGAAGTGTACATCAATCCCTAATTTGAGGTTTATTGATTGGGTTTATGCAGCTTACCAATGTTTACCATACTTTTAGCATACTGAGTTTACATGATTTTACCCTCTGAACTCTTTGCAGCGTCTGGAAGGACCAGACATTTTTCATCGATTCCCTCAGGAAACCTGCACTCAGCAGGTTCCAGATGGGACGAACGACTTCAAAAAATATAGTTACTATAGTTATTTAAGGTTATTTAAGGTTAAAGGTTTCTTATCGTTGAATCCTTCGTCCTTTCTTCGTCCTTTCTGCTCCAAATTCTGTTCTTTTTTCGCCTTCTCTTTCTCTCAGCACGTCTGCATACGCAAGACGCACCAGCCGTTGCCAAGGGCCACGGGTGTGGGAACCACAGGTGCACGGGCCAGCGGTGTTTCGCTGGATTGAAGAAGTCTTGGAAGTCGCCCAAAATCATAGGAAGATCATTGGGATTAATGGGGCTTAACAGATCTAGCGATTTATCCCAATGATTAAATAGAAAATCAATAGGATTAACAGTGATTTATAGATCTTATAGGGATTTTCGAGTGATTTCTTGCAGCAACAAATGGGTTTTAAGATGTTTTAAGCATCAAAAACGGTGAAACATGGGTGGGTTCAACCATCAGAAGTGGGGAAGTCATTGGGATGCAACTGATAAATGATGGTCGGTTGATGACCTTGGAGTTGCTGAAGGTGTTTTTTACCCCATTTGGCCACTAGAAATGGGAAATTGACTAAGGGAAGAGTGGGAAGAGTTCTTTTGTTTACTTTGTTTGACCACCTTCATCACATGTAAAAAAACAAGCTTTTCCCCAAGGGCATTCATTTTCCAAGTTGACAGAAGGAAAACACTTGAGCTCTGCATGGTTTCCAGAAGTGCCAGAAGGGAGAAGAAACTAACTTCCAGTTCCTCTTCAAAACCCGACATTTCCCACTCAACCCCTATTTTGAATGGGACTTTTCCAGGTGTTTTTCCAGCCTCTGCGAAGCTCAGGCCGCGGTCAATGGCTTTCCAGCCAAGCTTGGAAGCTCAGAGGGTGAAGATCGGTGAGATGTGACTGGTTTTTTACATTGCCGAATTATGGATCTAATTGGGATAAAACATGATAAAACTACTATGTATATTATGTATACTAGCTAAATCTAGATAATCTAGCTCATTTATTGGGGATGATGATCACATATGATCACCCATAGTAGGGAACCTATCAACCACATGGTTTTTCAGATGTTCAAAGCGGGAAAGCCGGCTGCCATAAACCTTCCATGAATGGGGATGGTTGAAATTTCACCCATAAGAAATGGGGATGGTTTATCTCATTGGGTTTGCATGGATTTGCCACATCATACCCTCTGGTAATTTAACACAACTATAGAAAATCACCATTTTTCATGGGAAAATCAACTATGAATGGCAATTTTCAACAGCTATGTTAAATCACCAGGGGGTATCCAATAAATTCTTCTAGGGAGTGGCAACGCTTGAGCTGTAGCGTGACCCATCCATCCCTTCAACCAACTCATCAGATTTGGTCATCTTCCAGACACCCAATCATCGAATTAAATGGATTTTCCAGCCTGCGCCATGTGTGATTCCCAGGTCTGGTCGCTCCACGTCGTCAAGCATGGGTGAGCCCATGGCGGCCCGTGGCCGGAGCATGTTGGACCAAGTGGGATGATTTTACCTGGCCAAATGACTCATTTTAGATAGCATCGAGCCATTTAGCATAGCAATGGAGAATCATCCATTTATAGATTATTGACTATAAATAAGAGTGTTTTTTTTTAGCTACGTCAAATTGCCAGATGATATCTACCATAGACATGTCACAAGCCAACATCGGTTTCCACAGGAACAGACTTTGATTGGGATTTGCGTAACAGAGGAGGTTGGCTTCAGGTGGACCTGCAATGAGCTCTGGAATCATTCAGGTCCACGAGTGGGTCAAGAATGACGGAGGGCCCCAAAATCAAAATCATCTTTAAATCTGGTTGGTGGTTTGGAACATTTGGATTGTTTTTCCATATATTGGGAATAATACTCCCAACTGACGAACTCATATTTTTCAGAGGGGTGGCTCAACCACCAACCAGATATAGATGGGTCACATTGTGGTTTGTTTTAGATAATTGATTCATCCTAAGGAATAAGTGGATTATTTCATCGGAGTTCGCCTTTAGGTAAGGAAGGCAAATGGTCCAGCTATGTCCAGCCACCAGTCCTGGGGTGTTATTTTAAGCCACCAGTCCTGGTTGACGTCAGGTACAGTGATATCATCAACGTTACCAACAACCCATTGGTAAGGTGGCTAATTACACAAAAAATTAGACCGTTATTTAATATAGCTATGGAAAATGGCCCATTTTATAGATGATGACTGATGATTTACCTATTTAAAGTGGTGATTTTCCATAGCTACGTTAAATTACCAGAGGGTAGCTATAAAAAAACCATCCCCCTACTGTAATATTAAAAGTTAAAGCACACCCTCAAGAGAGAGTCTGAGTCATATGTGGTTTCCTAGTTTCATCCCCTACGAAACCATGAAATTCTCCAGGCTGCATCCCCAGCTTCAGGTACAAAAAAGATCTTGGCTTCGCTAAGCGTTGGGATTCTGAATGGGATTCATCGTGGGGATTATTTTTCAGTTTTTTTTGAATGGAAACTTATGGAAATTATCATGGGATTGAACGGAGTTTGATGGGACTTAATGGGATTTGTCCATGCTAATTTTTCATGGGATTTACGGATTTTGATCGGAGAAGGTGCTGGCTTGTCGAATGAAAGACGCGACCTGGGATGATTTAAGATGATTTAAGTGTTGCTGTGGTAGGTCCCAATCCATAAACATCATAAACCGCAATCACCCAGCATTTACCAACCATTTGACCATTTGGGGGAGATGAACACCGTATCGACGGAGGTCAGATGGGATCGTGTCCCAACGGGCTAAACGGCTTGATGCTTGGGCTTCCAGGTGAATGTCTAAGCGACTGTAGCCCAGAAGCTCACACCTTTGATGTGCTTAAGAGGATGAGGTAACCATCCCAAAATGGGCTTAGAGTTTCATCTTTTAAATATCAATTCAATTCCATTGGATTCTATATATTTCTATATATTTCTATATCTCATTAAGTCTCATCATATTAGGATATCCCAGTCATCCATGAAAAAAGTCCCATCTGCCATCAAGCTCCCAGAGATGATCCTGGTAACACCCGACTGTAAACTCACAGTTTGCTACTGAACCATGGCCATTTATGGTTGATTTATGTTGGTTTACCTATTGAAGAATGATAAGAATGGTGATTTTCCATCGTTTTTTGTATGTTGACCAATGCTGACCGGGAACATTCGGGCTTGACATTGGGAAAAAATTCACCAGTTTCCAGTGCCCCCTTGCTACATCTTGATGGTCATCTCTGTGATGCAGTGATGCCGCGTCCGAAACTTGGGATGGCACCCAATACCAATGAGGCTCAACAAGAGAAGCTCCGCCAATTGGAATCCAGATTGAGGCAGACGGGCGCGGCGCAAGCATGTGGTGAAGCACGTGGTGAAGCACGTGGTGAAGCGGTAAAAATCAACCGGTGTCTACGTTGTCTGCATGATGGGATTTACATGGATTTAATATGATTAATCATGAAGATTAGCGTATCAGCAATTGCAACCACTCTAATCCCTTCCTCCTAATACTAACCCCCCCCCCCTAATACAAAACACGGCAGGTAGTTTTTAGTATTAGGGGGGTATTTATTATTAGGGAACCAAATCGAAGTCATGTTAATTAATTAATTAAATTTCCTTATATAACGCAATTAAAATATTGCCAAAAATGGCAGTTCGAAGCTTACCCCTAATACTAAATTAAAACCCTTAATACTAAAAACTATTTTTTC